CTTAAGGCCTGGTTTCTTAGGACAGGACGCCGTCAGCTGGAAATCAGCGCTAACCTCTGATTGGTCCATTTGTGAGTTTGATAGTATACGTCATCGAACGCTCATCTTGAACTACAATTGCCGTCAAAATCAACTGCAGTTGGATTACAACGTGACGTTAACCACAGAAGCAATGGCGGACAACAGCCAATAACAAAGCATTGAAATCAGCCAAGATTTTAATTTTAACATTAAACATAGCTTCTTTTTCCTCTTCTTAATTTAGCTAAGCTATAATGTGTTTTTTCTTGGGCAAAGTCATTATTTGTTCTTTAAAGCATTGGTCGACAATCACAAAATCAATACAAATTCAAAATAAATATATGTTTACGTTATTAGCGCATGAGCAATGTAAGATAATGTCTGTGTTGGACCGACTGCTCACGCTGAGCTAACAAAAAAGTATTTTTATGGCGTCAAAATTATATCACATTAACGCTGGCGCCCAGATAAGGCGCTTGTCCTAAGAAACCAGGCCTTTAGTGAAAATCCAGTTATTTAGAGCATGGGGACGGAGGGGTGTGTGCTGAATTATAAAAGGCAGCATTTTAGGGCAATTTTCTTGAGCTGTAAATTCGTGTGTTTTTTTTTTAAATAAATAATCATACAAATCAATTCGATACTTTTCTCCCAGCAGGAGATCGATATCTATTGTTATAATCGAAATAAATACGGTAATAAAAAAAGTAAACAATGTAACCTATGGTTAAAAAGAGTCATTTACTCTTAATTAGATAACTAAAAAGCACCCAAATATATTTTTTTTTTCACTCTAAGAAGTAAGATGATTGGACTTGATGATTCATGATCGATATAAAATGAAGCATCATTGATAAGCGGTATATATATATATATATATATATATATATATATATATCGCAATGATGCTTCATTTTATATCGATGTATCATCCAATTCTCGATAAGTCTTATGATAGCAATTATTTTACCTACTTCGTACATGTGTCATTTATCTGTTTTCGGAATAAGAAAATGAGCATCATATTTTCTTATTACTTTATTTCTTTAAATTAAGAACATATGGCAAAATAATTGGCAGACAACACGGAAATTTACTGAAAACTTCCTGATAGTTCATCATGTTTTTAAAAATACTTTCTGGCAATAAAAATATGCACAAATTGTTCATAATACATAAAAAAGTGCATACTATTCAATATATACATTTAGGAAATTACTATGGTTAGAACTACAAATGATAATAACAGTATAAATATTTAAAATACATGTTTCTTCACGTGTCTATGTTGAGGCTCTATTCCTGATCGCTGTGCTTTCTTACGTTTGAAAGGAAAGTGAAATAATAAGAATATGGATTCCGAAAGATCAAAAATAGAAACAAGGTTGATTCCCAGCCACATTCCCATATAGCCTCCAATATAGCTGAAAAGTTCAATACTCTAAAGAAAAAATAAAAGGTTACAACTTATCATAATTACAAAAAATTACTAATGCACAGCGCATATCTTTTATTATTTTATTGTATAACAGTTTGAACAATTTATAATTGTAGAGTATACAGTCGGTCAATTTTTTTTTATCTTGAGCACTGTACTAATGCTAATAATAATGCTGAATAAACTGTAATGATTGCAGTCAGCTTCTAAATTTCTCGAAGCAAGTTGCTTCCAAGTTATATCAAATTTATAGAAGAAAATTTATAAAGAAAGGTGTTGATAAAAAAAAATTTGAAAGATGTTGCTGTCATTTTTTTTCCAGCAATGCAAAAGCTTTTTCCGTAGTTACTTGTCAAACAAACTTCTTTTAAAAATATATTTAGAGAATTTCTTTTTACAGTATTTATTGTAAACATTTGTACTGCGTATTATATATCTTTCTTCTGGTCAAATCATGTACTATATTTTAGGTGCACACTGAGAAAAAAGTATGGTCACAGAACATGATAAAATGTACCCTTTTTCTGGTTCTATTTCAAGATAAAATAATAAAAAAAACGTCGGTATTTTTTGTCGCTTTTATCTACATTAATTAGCCAATGGTTAACTTTATTCAACTTATTGAGCCTCATGATAAGTAGAAAGGGAATTAAGATTTCTCTTCAACTTGTCACGTGACTCACTTCAGTGAATCACATGAGAAACAGAAAGCACACTGAAGAAATTTGCGATATAAAAAATACAGAAATACTTCTTTTAAGATTTTCGTTTAATTGTTAAAGGAAATATAAAGTTAGAGATACCTTGTGGTTACACGTACCATAGTAAATAATACTTCGTTATTTCAAACATGTCACAGTTTTGACTACATTTAAATTTTAGATTTGTTATTAAATTTTGATTCATAATTTTCATAGAAAATTATGAATCATTCTTTAACAATAGAATAAAATTTGGACAAAGTTAATCGTAAAAGAAATAATTTTAGAAAAAGTTTTAAACAGAGAATTGAATTTCAAGTTACTTACATTATATTTTGGTTGAAAAATGCGTCTTGATAATATAAATTTTCTGAAACTAACTCGGAGATAAATGGAACTTAACCTGCAAGAAGTCATATTTATTTTTTAAGCAAGTAAACTTTGTACGTAATTCAGCATTACTAGCAATACCAAAAAATATATTTTGTACTATAAAAATAATTAATAAATGGCTTACAAAATAAAACGGGTCCAGAAAATAAATACGCGTAAGTTTAAACTAACTTTGCATTAAAAAGAAAATATTGTACTAAATAAATTTCAAATAAAATCAATATGCGCTAAATCTAATTGCAAGTAAAATTAATTGAGCTCAAGTTTTAATTAAATAACAAATGCATTTATTAATTATTATTTTTTTATTTTAACTCATTTTTATTTCATACAAAATTTTGTAATTAAATTTTTTTATATTTTATTTTAAAATAATAAAAATAATACAATTGTAACACACTTTTTTCTCTTTTCATACGTATTCATAAATTTTTATTCCATATCGAGGGTTAATATTCTGTATAGTAGGGTCTAATTAATTTTGATAATTAGTATTTTTTTAAACAAATGAAACAATATCAATGAATATTTAGACTATAAATTATTGAATACATTATTGCTGCCAATTTTTTAATTATCTTCATTTCAGGTCCTTTTCAAAACAGTTGTTTTAATTTTAAGAATCCAACACCTTGAAAAATTTCGGATCAAATTACGGTAAAAAGTACGAGAACTTAAGGTGCATCATCCGTAAAGTCTATTTTACCATTAAACTATTAGCGTAAAATCAAGTATTTCTGCAAAATTTATTTTTACCGTAATTTTCACAGTAATATTTATTTAATTAGAATGCTTAAGTGATTTTACGGTAACTATTACTGTAATAATTACGGTATTATGAGATTTTCTTCCGCAATATGTTGCTGTGAAAATGGATTCTACGGTAACAATTACCGGCATCCTGTGTACCGGTCCTTTTTTTCCGTAATGTGATAAGTAATTTTTTTACTGTGCATGATGTCAGAAGATAAACCATATGCAGTCTTACATCCAGTATCAGCCACCAAAGCTTTTTTTTACGTTTTTGTCGTATGTCTTATCTTAGCCAATGTAAGAAAGAGCTTTCTTATAGTTTTAAAAAGCTGTTTATTTAAGTCGATCGGGTCAATTTCTGGAATTCAAATATTTTAAAATTTTGGTCAAAACCGAGAACAAAAGATTGGGCATAATTGGTGTCGCAAATTAATAAAACAAAGTAAAACCAAAAGCGCTTTCGAAAAATCACTTTTGGGGATTACAAAACATGAACAGAACCGTGACAGTCATGATTATCTGAGTTATCCACCCAATTCTTTTTAAAATAATTGACTTTTTTTTCACAATTATATCTAAAATACTAATAAATAACTAAAAAGTTGATAACAAATTATTTTTTTTGTAATATCCGTTTTTTCAGCTAAATTTGATGCATAAAAAATAATTTAAAAAACAAAATTATAAAAAAAATGATATTAAATCAAAAAGATTTTTTTTAGATTCTTTTCTCAGTAAAGTGGCATCAACCACTTATGTCATGGAAAAAAAAACTGCGTTGATTTTGAATCAGAATACCTGAGAAGTCTCAGAAGTAAAATTCTCACTTTTAACGATTCAACAGTCATTGATCTGTATGCCTAGCTTGACAGAGACGTCACGCGAATTTAAGAGAATTCTGCAAAAATTATTTTTATCTGAAACAGGACAGTTTTCATAACAAGCAAATGTCTTTCATTCTTTTCAAAAATCAAGTAATCTTTTCAATTAATGGACGAGTGTTAATTTTGAAAATCAGTTTGTCATAAAATCACATGATTTGTGACAAAACTCGAGTTTTCAAATATATGACGGAAATGTTTTCTCAACTCGAAATTTCATCCTAGTTCATTGCTCGATTGTTAACTAGAATGAAAACTATATTATCAAAAATAAAGAGAAGATGCAAACGGATCTGATGTATGGTGGTTAAGGATTTAGACTCGCAATGGGAAGATCACGGGAGCGAATCCCATTCCGGGCATGGGTGTAAATTATCACTCTGTTCTATCTGCACTTCTAGCATTATCTGGGGGCTTATATGATTTCACGATAAAGTGATAAGAAAAGTTAAATGCATGAGGAACTAATTATTATTTTTTTACAATTTATTTTCCTTGAAATAATGGAATTACCAAATATTTGCTTCATTTTGACAGAATTTGTTTCCTCAAAGAAGTAATGACAGTTATTTTATCACTTTGACAAAATATTTGCTTCCTGCATGCACTAGTAAATGGTTTCGTCAAATGCGAAGAAAGTTTCAAGAAATTTAAATATCCTTTTTTTGCAGTGCGGTTTATCATAGATGAAAAGTTTCACCCTCAATTCTTTATCATCCCCAATATTATTTCATTTTTAAAATTTAGAAATAGGTGAACTCAGGAAACCCTAAGAAATTGACGGAGTTTACTATGTTGAGAAAAATGTTTTCAAGTTATCAAAATTTAAACAAATTATTGGAGGAGAATTTACTTCTAGCATCATAAAGTAATGCTGTCATAATTTGTCTATTTTTTGATATTTTAATCTTTTTTTTCGATTTTTTGATCTTTTTTTCGATATTTCGATCTTTTTTTTAGCATTTTAAACTTCGTGGATATCTTTAAATTTACTTGAACTCTTGTTTTTTTTTACTTTAAATTACTTATGTAGAGTAAAAAGAGTTTACCGTGAAGGGTTTATTCCGAAGCATAACCTCCTTATAAAGCAATTTTTCGAAGTTCTGTCGCCAAAGAAAATCAAAAAGCATAGTTAAAGTGCCTAACATTTAAATCAATGCTATAATTTTTAATTGTATGTATAATCTAGTCTTGAAAAATTATATGGGCTTTAGAGCAGACAAACAACATAATTAATTTATGAAAGTTAATAAGCTTTTTTAAAAAAATATCGCCACTTTGATGATATTTTTCTACCTAGATGAAAATTTTCAAAATCACTTCTTTATTCTCAGTTGTTACAAATTTTTATGAACCCAGGTAATGCAGCATTGTAGTAAGTTTTTAAACATTAAAAATTTAGTTCACAAACCCTAATCATTTTGACTGAACGATGGCTTTTTTCCATATTGACGTTTTGCGTCATTTTCAAAATAAGCGTAGACAGTGCTGGCTTTATTTAGGCTAAACTAGACTTATCCAACATTAGTAACACTTGCAAATTCATAGCAGTTATGAAAATGGCGTATGATTTGTAAAAAAAAGCATTATTTCGTATTACGACAGAGACTTCGAAAAACAGTGTTATAAGGACCATTCACGCGCTATCGTGTAATTTCGATCGAACCACGAAATACAAACTAACGTTGTCTTCCAGGTGTTAAGAACATAAAATAAATTTTCATTATAACTAATTGTTCGAAACTGTTGGCTTAAAATAGCTTTGAATGTTATATTTTAAGGACTTGAAAAAAAAATAGAATGGTTTGCAGTTTAAATGAAACTCTGATAACGCTAATCACATAAGTATTTTCCTTTATCGGTAGTAATCTCACCCGAACGATTACGAGTGAAATTCTGAACGATAGTTTAGATTTATGTTCAAAAATTGCTTTTCATGCTTAATGTCCAAAGTACTGGGTCCTAACACATACCTTTCTTAAGTTATAATAGAAATACACGCGATGATACTCGTACAGCTCATTATTTTATCTTATTTTATAACCCTTTATTATAGAATCTTTATAGTTATCTATATATTTTTTTTAAAATTCATTTTCATTAATTTAATTCTTATTTCTTTAATGGCTGGAAATTCGGTTTTTTTTCCTTAAGCTTGATAATTAATCCTTTTCATGTTCCTAAATCATTCAGCAAACACTAAAAGAAAATATTTTCAATACCATGACATTAAAAATATTTTATTGACCACTACAAAAGAATAAGTAAATAAGAATTGATTAAAAAAAACATTACCATGTCAAATTTTTACCCGTGATGGTTTAGATAATTGTTTTGGGCTATCAATTGTCCTACATTTACTTAAATACATACTGGACTTAATTGTGTTGCCCTAATTAAAATCGATTACTTTTTTTTTATTCCTTCGAAATTTATCGAGGTTTTTTTTTTATGAAATTTGTTTGTTTAAGACGGTCTAAAAGAAAGTCTATATAATTCACTTAGAAGTATAGCTCATTTCAATTTTAAGTTTTGCATAATTAACGAACAATTGCAGAGGAATATTCTTTTTAGTTTAAATGATTATCCTAATGTTTCATTTCATCGAAAGAGTATTTCTTTAACTAAGGAAAGAAACTGTTTTCGGACAAACTATTCTATAAATCTCAAATTTTCGGAAGAATTTTTTAATCTTTATCCTTTTTTTCAACTTTTTAAAATTTAGAATTTTTTTTTAATTTTTTAAAATTAATCAAATTCTATATCCTATTATCTGTACATATTTTTGTCTTCAAATTAAACTATTCATAATAAACAAAGTATTTCAGCCAATTATTAAACCACAAGTTTACGCAAGATTTTCTCAAGAATCGCACAATCAAATTTATTCCCTTTTGATAAAAATCTTATTTTTTCACATTCATTTTTAAATATTTAGATAAAGAAAACTGCCTTGCTAAGAATTTAAAGAAACATAATCAAAACAGCAGAGAAACAAAGTCAGTTATTCTAGTATGGTTTAAGTTTTCTATTTAAAGAAAATATTTATATGCAAATGTATTTTGTTTACCTATTTCAATGAAATAAAAATTCTGCAACTTACTTGCAATTTTCCTCTCCTACGTCACACTAAAAGAGCAAAAAATGAAGAACCTTATAATCTCAGGTGATGATACAGTTTTAATTGAAGCAAACTTTTTCCAATCTTTTTATCGTAAATAAAGGATAAGAAATCACAAGGTGTTTACAGAGGTTCGGTTAATCTTAATTCGATACTGAAATCATTAGCTTTAGAACATTTCATTTTAAAAATCAACCATCTCTCTCAGGCAGCGGTTCCCAATTACAGCAAAGGAACCCTAAATGATTTAGAATCTTTTGACGAAACCCCAAGCTCATAAATAAAATTAGTATCTTTGATCGAAAAAAGTCAATAATAACAATTGCAATAAGCTATAAACTATTTGAATCTTATTTAATGAACCACGATTACTCAGGGGTTAGAGCGTTTGCCTTCCAATGAGGTGAATCGGGTTCGAATCCCGTCGAGGGCTGGTCGATACGAATTCCGCATCCAGCTTGCACCGACCACAGTGCTGACGTGAAATATCGTCAGTGGTAGACGGATCATGGGTTAGAGTCCCCTTGCCTTTAGGTTAACCATGGGAAGTTCTCGTGGTCTTCCTCTCCATGTAACGCAAATGCATTTTAGTTTCATCAAAAAGTCCTCCACAAAGGCAAATTTCTCTCAGTACTTGATCCATGAGTTTCCTTGTCTTCTGGATCGGGTTCAAAATTGCAAGGTTACGGAGTTGAACAATAGTAGTCTTTAACCCAAAAATTGGGTCTGCTGTTCAACGACAGATATAAAATAAAGTATTAAATATAAGATAAAATCTTATTTAATGGAGCCGTGGTGCTCAGGGGATAACGCGTTCACCTTCCAATGAGTTAAACAGGAGTTCGAATCCCAACGATGGCTGTTTGGTGTATCTTCTTCTATTTTCATGACAGCCCTTTGTGGCCCAGAGCCTTACCCCATTCTGCTCTTTTATTTTCGATTGTTTCCCAGATAATAATTTCCAGAATTTTAAATTCTTGTTTCATACAGTCAAGTCATCTGATCTTAAGCCTATCTGTAAGTCTAAGCCAATCAGCTAAAGTGATCAGCTAAAAACGAATAAAGTTTACTGAAAAATAGCTTTCGACAAAGAACTGTTAAAAATTCTGAGATTGATTATCAGAGAAACATAATTCATCATAATTCAGAGAAACATACCATCTTCTTCCTTCAAAAATTTGTAAAAATCTGAAAAGTTGGCATCATGATTGCATTATGACTCAAAAGAAATTTAAACTCTTGGAACCCAAGTGAGTCTTCTATGGAACCCCAGGGTTCCGCGAAACACCATTTGAAAACCGCTGCTCTAAAACACTCATATTGGTTGACTTCAAAGCGGCCTCCCAGGTTGTCATAATAAATCAATACACAGAAATTCTGACCTTCCTGAAAATAAAGCAAACACTGGAGTGTTAGGCAGATCAGCTGAATTGAATAATCTTCTCTCATCAAAAATTTGTAAAAATCTGCAAAGTGGGCACCATAACCGCAGAACACCTTCTTAATTACCCATGTTTAGTTATGGAGTCTATGGGGAAATCGCCAAATTATGTTGAACTTCTGGTATTTATATGAACTTTTTCCTATTAAAAGATAGCTAGTCATTTTTTCCCTATTTCTTTGTCAATTATTGTCCTGTATATGTTAACTTACATTAATCTTGTTTGTTTCTTCATGTTTAAATGTGTGTATTTATCATATTTTTTTCTGAAAACTGTTCCTAGTTCCATTGTACTGTATGATCTAATAAATCAAAATTTATTACATTTTATTCAATTTACATATTTTATAAATACTTTTAAAGATTAGTTACTTTTCCAACTGAAATTGTTTACTTATTACCTCAATAGGTGGCAGCATTGGTTAGATCTGCTTTTTATCAAATTCTTGTAATTTTTAATTGTGTATAAGCACTATGACAAGTTTCAAAATATATCCTCTTGTGTACATTCCTAAATGAATTCGAAATAAGCGATTAATCGGGAAAATTTTATAGTACAGTGAGAAAAAAAAAGATATCACCCTGAATAACTTTCATTCTAATTAATTGTTTTTGAGAGTGACTTCAAATATGCTAACTATATAATGACATCATATATGCTAACAAATAAGTTGCGAAATCAAACAAAAAAAGACATTTTCTACTAATATACATATATTTTTTTTACATATTTGGATTCCTGGTTCTCAGAATAGGCAGACTAAATTGTGGTAACAGGGTTAGAAATAATATCATTTCACTTCTTCTCTAGTGGTAAGTACTCAAATGCGCACCATTTCCTTTAAAAGTACGCAACTGCTTTTATGAACAATTTTCTAGATTTTATGACATTTTTCAGCAATCATTTTTTAATTTGTGATAATTAAAAAGGAATGCAGCTAAGAGCTCCTTCAGAAATAGATATTAGGTTTCACGAATTTTGAATAATCGAAATTTCACTAAAAATAAATGTAAAATTAAAAGTCATTTTTAAACACAAAATACAAAGATGTTTAAAAGAAAACAATTACCAGACGACTTTCAAATTCCACTTCATTGTAATCAATTTCATACTTTTGCTCCCTGAAAAATTAGGAAACGTAAATGAAAATTAATCAATTAATAATATGATCAGAGTAAATTTTAAAAAAATAAGAAAAACTAAGAGAATTAGAATAAAAGAGAGTAAATTAAATAAAAAGTTTAAGTAGGGTAAAAAGAAAAAAGAATTTATAGTGAGGAGAGTTGCAATAAGCGTTTAAATACCAGATTCATACACTTATTTTTAAATATGTTTGCATTGTTTTCTGATTATAAAAAACCTACTGACAAGCTGGCTTACATTCCATACTGCATTCTTTAATAATTTTATCAGTAACTCTCATATTGGT